CTGAATGTTGCCGCCAGAGATCCAAGGGAAAAGATTTCAGACCCAGTGATACTGAGGCTGCGAAGCAAACTCTCTCTCCCCTGACAGTACCCAGTCACCTGTGGTCACTGCCTTACTTGCCACACACACTCCCGGGCAGCAGTCAGAAGCATCAGTCTACACAGCACCAGGGAGCCCCGCCCTTGTGGTACATCCTGGGTTTCCTTCATTTATTGAGCCAGGGTCACATACAGCCCAGGCTGGCCTCAAACTCATCATACCATCAAGGACAATATTGAATTTCTGATTCTCCTGCCTCCAACCAAGTGCTGGGATTACATGCTTGCACTACTACTCCCAGATTTAAGCTTGGCAATGCTGAGCTTTGAATGTGAGCTTTGTGTATGCTAGGCAAGCACTCCTCAATTGACCTACATCCCCAGCCCCGGGTTTGGTTTTAAATAGATGTTCCAGTGTCTGCGTAAATTGGGCGACCATCTCAGTATCCTTGATGCTCTCATTCGCCCCCGCTGACTTCCAGTACCATGGACATCAGCAGCCATGTTCACCTTTACATTTGCCTTGGTTTAGACAGCACACTGTGTGGTCATGCTCTGTGAGTTCACTGACCTTTATAGCATGCTCCGTTTTGGTTCAGACTCGTGCAGACATACCCGAGCCCATCTGTCCTTTCCATCTTTCCTGTCCCTGCTGACAATAAACACCGTTGGTGTGCTCACACACCATGACCCTTGATTTGCTCTGAAGAGCTACCTTCTGCCTCTTAGTTTGCTCACATCCCTCTCTCTTTCTCTTTCTCTCTCTGAAAACTCTTCCTTGACCCCACTCTCAAGCAATGAGCATTAATTACTTCCATGTCTGTGAAACAGCCTCTGTCTACATCCAGCCACATGGATTTAACTTTACATAACAGGGTGAGATGGGAAAGGTCTGCCTTCCTCCCCAAGAAATCTGCTGTAATTGGTTTAGAAGCCCCCTGGTGGTACCTGGCCATGATAATGCCAACAGGTCTTCATTCTTCAAAGATGGCACATGAAAGGAAGCATAAATCTAATACATAATCTATATGTGCATGCTTTTCTACAAAAATTTTATTCACTTCTAAAGAAGTTACAAGTACAGCATATTCCTTGTCTGAACTCTTGCTGGAAGCAGGTACCCATCGCCTTTCCCCAGCATCCTTCTACATCATGACTAAACATATTTTTGAGCCCACTTCTGCAGGTACCTAAGTGCCCTAATGGGCAACTCTGTGCTACAGAAGCTCTTGGACTTAGGTTGGTGGACCACCCACACTTGAATATTTAATGTGCTTCTTAAAGTCACTTGTCTACAAATCCAACTTCAGACACAGAGGAGTCAGCACTTGGAACATGGAGGGGAAAATTGCTCACAAGTGCCCCGGGGGGACCTCATGCTCATTGGAGGGGCATGGCTACCGTTAGAGACACCAGGTCTAGGTCTAGAGTCATGCTCCATCTTCCTTACAGATGGAAAGTCACTTCCCTTTTATTCAAAGCAGCTCTTTACATAACAGGATGTCTTTCTCTACTTACTCCCTTCTTAACACTCAGCTGTAATCATGCTACTGGAGCTTTCTTTACCAAAAGGTTCCATGGCTTAAACCAACTTGTTCCCTCTCCTCTGGATCTTTCAATGTCTCTCCCAGAAAGTGGTATTCAAGATGGTCATACATCACCATCTGAACTGGGTGGCGATCTAGAAAACACTGAATGCCTTTACCATATACTGCCAGTTACGTGGGGACTGTTCATATACCCTCCTACCAAGCGATCACATGACAAGCCATCTTGGTCTAAACCAACCATCAGGAGGGCTCATCGCTCTATAAGCCTTGGCTAATTAAAGAGGCCCTAGGCTGACTCCCTCTTCAGAGTTGTTTCCATTTGAGTAGCTTTGCTTATATGTCTCTATACATCATATTGTCTGTTCCTGTTCTGTTTCTGACCGTAATTCACTTTGGCGGTCCTATGCCAAGTGCATGCTGCATGCGCATCAAATTCTCACACAGCAGCTCCCCACTTCACATGGGAGGAGACCCCACTTAGCAATAAGGGCCTTGCCACGAGGAAACACCTCATTTATTTGTGACTTGGCTTACACAACGTCTTTGTTGGAGGATAACTCTTCATCTTGCAGACATTTTTAAAATGGGGTTGAAAGAGCTAAGTGCCTGGGGTAAAATCCAAGGTAAGGTGAAAGGACACAGAGTTGTCACAGCTCTACTCTGGATCGCCTGCTAACATTCTCATCGTTCTCTTCGTCTCTTCTGGCCTAAAGGTAAGAGTGGCCGATCAATGGCGGGTAGAAACGCTAACTGTGGACGCAGAGGAGGAGGAGTATGGAGCTGGGTGTGACGGCACACCTGTAATTGCAACACTAGGGCAGTTGAGGTAGAAGGATCTCAGCACTGACTACAGTCAGTTCAAGGTCAGACAGCCCTACCTAGCAGCCTGGGGAAGGGAGGTGTCTGCATTAATTCATAACTTGTCAAGAGAAGTAACAAGCAGCTGTTCCAAAATGAGTGCCCAGAAGAGGACAAAGGGAACAATTTGCAGAGGGGCAGGACGAGGTAATCGATGAGCCAGCCCATCTGTCTGCTAACAGAAGCATCCACGTAGCACATATGCAAGGCAAACTCACCTTGTTCTTCCATTTCACACTGTCTGATATCCCAAGACCAATGTTTATACAATTACCCAAGACCTTAATGCTAAATCATCATTTATAGCATTTCAGTCCAAACAGCTGGGCTTCCCACAGATTTGGTTAATTTAATCAAACTCCATGCAATTATACTTTAATTAAAACTACATATGCATAAAGTTGAAATGCTGATATTTAAATCAATTGAATTCACAACAAGATTAGAAGAAATGCGAACAAACGATTAATTATAGGTCCAAATTAAAAACAAAATTAAAAGCAATTTAAACCTTCTCTCTTTTTCTGTCTAGAAGGTAGCCATGACCCAAAGGTCACGAATCCTCAATGTCACACCATGGGTGGAAGCAGAGACTCAAATCCAATCCAAGTTTCTTAACTTCAGATCAATAGCCTGTTCATCTAGGCCATTCTAGGAACTTTAGTTGCTTCCTATATTCATTAAACGAACTTGACCCTCACGAAGAGACAACAAAGTTTTTCTAAACAAGCATCTACCAATGAAGGGACCAAAACTGCTGTGGTGACGAAAAAGGTCTTGATGTTGAGACTTGGTCATTTTAGTAACCAGAGAATGTGCTCAAGTTCTTTACTCTATAAGCGCTTAGAGAAGCTCAGTGTCTTCCTGGTTACAGAAGCATATTCATATATTATTTGATTGCCCTATATTTTGCTCAAACCATTTTCATACATAATAAAAAAAATAAATCTCTATAAGTTATGACATCATTTTCTTAAGTAGGAAGGAATCCTTCTCTGTTCTTTACTATTCAGAGTTTTATGTCACTCTATTTTTAGGTTACATTTTTAAATGTAGGCAAAAATTAAGCCTACTTTCTCAGCATTAAACCTTCAGCCTCTCCAAGACTTATTGTATGGTCACTGATCCGTCTTTGTGGTTTAGTTTAGTTTTTTTCAGCACTAGGAATGAAACCTAGGGCCTTACACATGCCTGGCAAGCATTCTACTACTGAGATACACCTTCCATCTTACTATAATTCAGTTTAGTTGCAATTCTGACCTTGGCACCATCTAGAACCACCAAGAGGAGAGTACATCAATAAGGGATGTCTACCTCAGGCTGGCCAGTGAGATGTCTATGGGGGTTGTCTTAATTACTTTAATGGAGGCAGGAAGATGCAGTCCACTGCGGGTGGCACCATTCCCTAAGCAGGCCATCCCAGACAACAGAAATGTAGAAAGGGGGCTAAGCACAAGTAAGTACACACGTGTTCATCCTCTCTCTCTGCTCGTGATTGTGGGTGTGACTAACATTTCAAGTCCCTATCTTGGCTCCCCTGCAGTGATTGTAAACTTAAATCCCCCTAAAGCATGTTCTGTCACCACAACAGAAAGATGAGACTATGTAACTATGCAATCCAGGCGGACTTCAAATTTGTCATCCCATGCCTTCCTCCTCCGTGTTGTGGTTTTAGGTACATGCTTCCATACCTAGCCCCCAAAGAGAAGTTTAAACCCTAAATAGATTCTAAATAGGGGCACAAAGTGATTTTTTTGTTATTTTTAATTATTTTTCCTTTAAATTAAAAACAATCTTATTTTACATATCAATCCCAATTCCATTACCCTCCTGTCCTCCCAATTTCCCCACCAATTCCCCATCCCACCTCCATCCACTCTGAGGCCTCTGCCTCCCATGGGGGGATCATCAAAGTCTGTCACATCATTTGGGGCAGGACCTAGCCCTATAACCTCCCCCCCCCACAGACACACACACACCATGTATCTAGGGAATGGGCTCCCAAAGAATTTTAATAAAGCAAAAGTCACTCCTACTCACCTGGCTGTTGATTTATCAAGTCATTTCAGGAACTGTGTCCTCCAGATTTCAGTGTGGAAACAGACTAACATATTTACATCTCACACAGCTGTTTCCACCCTCAGCACCAGAATCTCCGACCCCATAGCCACTAATCTGCAGGGAGATCACACCCCTCCTCTCCACTCAGGCCTCTGTCACCCCACAACCTACCATACGTGATTGACATCCCTCATCCACATTCCCCCTCACTTTTTTTCCCAGCGTATGGTCCCCACAACACTACGGTGGTCAGCATCCTATTACACTAATGTGTAGCCGACCCAATGAAACCCTAAAGTCTTAGGAGTTTACAACCTGGAGCCATTTTAATTTGCTACACAATCTGTAAACGTTAAAAGAAAGTGGGAAGTTCTAGGTCTTGATGGTGGAGCCTTTCCAAACCCATCCTGGTATGTTAGGGCACAGCTTTCCTCTCATCCCCACAGAGGCTGTTTCCTGGAAAGACTAAATGGGCACGGTGGGACATACTCACTGCAAATCGGACTTGGCAGCTCTCCTCCCCCAGGTAGCAGAGGTCGCCTGAGACGTTGGTCTCCAGCCAAAGGTGTTCCCCGTTCACAGCATTCTCCTGTGAGGAAAAAGACACGCCCACCCACTTGAGTGCTCTCTTCAGCATCAAGGGGGGACTTCAAGTCTGGGGTTTTCATGCAGGACATGTAGTGACCCCCAGGAGTTTAACACTCTTCGTGGGCTCTTCAAAGACATTGCTGGAGTTGACACTATGTCAGTTCTGGAAAGGGGAAGTGGCATTTGGGAACTCTCGTCAGTAACCAAGATAGATAGGAGCTCTATGAAGGCCTCATGCATGGAGGCATCACACTGAAACATTTTCAACAAATGAGGAAAAGACGACTCTGAAGGGCTCCGTGTAAAAGCGTGTTTATCCATACCCCCACAGGAGGCCAACCTAAGATAAAAATTAGCCTCTGCTTAGTAAATTAGCTAAGAAGGAGGATGATAGTATTAAAATACTTTAGGTAAGAATGGCTGACAATGCATTTATACTTAGCTTGCCTCTCTGGCACTCAAAGCACAATACATTCCTACTAATCCAGACATGTTACTAATTCAGTAAGTCCTCCCACATAGCTCTCAATATTACAAATTAACTTGTCTGCTGCCTAAGAATAGTGAGCAGAGCTGCTGTGATGTACGACACAATGAGCAACAACCCAGTTTTATCCAAAAAACATGCAGGACACAATGGAGATGAGGACGGTCACTTGGCTTTTGCGGCAGATAGAATTCTATGGTCTTTCTTCTGACACACTACTTTAGAGAACGTGAATTTAGAGAATGCACTAACTGTACATTCTGTTTATTTACTGAAGGGTTGAAACATTGGGGAAAACGCTGTATTAGATTAGCCACAAGGAACATGAGATTAAGAGTTTATAGGGAAAACCCTGTTGTTTTTATTTTATCCCACGGGCTCGACTATGGCCCTGTCCCCAGTTCATAAACTGAAATCTAAATCACAGTGCGGTGGCATTAGGAAAGGTATTGGAAAGCAATCAGGTCACGAAGACAGAGCTTTCACTGTGGATTCAAAGCCTTTACAGGTAGAAAGAGCGTTCTCCTCCTCTGCACATGTATGCAGCAAGGGAAAGCCACCCAAGTTCACAGCAGGAAAATAACTACCACCAGACAGGTGGAGGGCCCTCACCAGGAACTCAATGTGCTTTGTCCTTGGTTTGAAAATGATGGGAAATCGATGTCTCTGGCTTAGGTCACCCATTCTGTGGCATTCTGGGGTAACATCGTGAACAAACAACAGAGGACAGCTTCAATAGAGAGCTTACAGAATAACCGAGTAAGGTGCATTTGAGCCAGCCTTAGCATAGCTCATTCGAGAAACATCCACATGACAGCCTTCTCAATGTCAAGGCTTAGAACAGAAAAAAATAGAAATATAGACAAAGGTTTCCAGCAGAAAGACAGGGAGAGAGCATGCTATTAAAAAAAAAAAAAAGTAATGAGTGCATTTCTTCAAATAGAATACATTTTCCTTTCAGGGTGAACAGTCTAAAATGATTTGGGGCAACAAAATCCACAGGCCATATTGTGACCTAGGATCCAGATCAGTTGTCCTCAGCCTTCCTAATGCTGCTTCGACCCTTTCATATGGTGACCCCCAACCATAAAACTGTATTCATTGCTACTTCACAATGGCAGTTTTGTTATGGGTATAATACTAATGTAAATATATATGATTTCCAATGGCCTTAGGTGACCCCTGTGAAAGGGCCATTTGACCCCTAAAAGAGTCGAGAGCCACAGATTGAGAACCACTCATCTAGATGCTCCCAGATCCAAGGAGAGTGAGAAAGTATTAAATCAGCAAGAGTAAGATATGAACATGTAGGAAAGGTGATCAGGTATTTAGGTGACAAAGGTCTCAGGTGCCTTCTTTTTTTGCTTCATTTTTTTTTTCTTCTCCTCAGGAATATTCTCCTTTGGTCAACAATGTCCAACTCCTATATAGATAGTCATGGGAAAACAGACCTGTCTTCTTGTGGGACACTATCAGGAGAAAGGAAGACTAGACATAGGGGAGGACCTTAAAAGTTCATACAAAATGATGACATCACTAGAGATAAAGACATTTCTGTACAAGACAGCCTAAAGAAACTATGCTCACCATCTAAATCACTACAGAGGAGTTACCTACTGTCCACTTTAACTTCTAGCCCATTATACAAAAGCCATCCATCCCTTTTCATTTTATTGTTCAACTCATTCATCAAGCATTTATTCTTCTCTTCTGGCAGCAGTCATAGGGAGGCTATGTTATCTCACACTGGCCAATTGACTAGCAAAGCTGGAAACTAAATATGATGTAATAACAGAAAGGGAAGGGCTACTAAGGGAAGGGCTTCAGAGGAAATATTGACAACTATTTTAAGGGGTCCAATATAAAACTGTTACAGTGGAGAGAAAATGTCAAGAACCTTTGACAGCAACAAGCTAGGTGTGCCCGCAGCGATGTCCTAGAAGGGCAGGTAAGAATCTGTGGGTCAGATGATCACAAGAACCACATACTGGACTTGCAGACCTATAGTTCCTGGCTCCCGGATTCCTTTGCTAAATGGTATACCATTTGCAAGCTTTCAGGGACTCGCTGATCAGTATTGCATCAGAGTCATCCACAGAAAGACCACTACTTTTAGGTAGTCTCAGTTTGTGATGGGAACTTGATTTAAAAGAGGTGTACCATTGGAAGGGAAAAGAAGGAGGGGTTACAAGATCCTGCCACCATCTAATGGGCTGGTTCTCAGTTTGAGCTATCTACTCAATGGCCTATTGAAAAAAAAAAAGTATGTGGGTATGACTCCAGAGAGTCTGTCAGTGAATCTCAATGAAACCTGTATACAACAATTGCTCAAAGGTCCCAAGATGGCCCTGATGTGCCCTGGAGTCTATAACACAATAGACCTCACCCTCCTTTTCAAGCTTTTTAAGATAACAGATTCTAGAGCATGTCTGTGAGCCAAAATACTATATGGTATTCTTCTTTGTCTTGTACAATCCCTAGAGAAGATGATAATGGAGACATGGCATGAAGTATCTCCTTCAGTTTTAAGGAAAGACACAGAGCTGTAAGCATATACCCATAGACCTGGAGTTCACTGTGAAAAGCCCTGAGGTATTAGTGAAAGAGCAACATGTATAGATATCTAAAGAAAAAGCAGAGTAAAGATCCATTACTTAAATTACTGTGCTTACTTTGGGAAGTAGTTCCTGAAGAAATAGTTGTAATGGAAGGAAAAAGTAAGTGTCCTTAACGGGGAACAATTGTCACAAGAACAACACAACAGAATGTTGCAAAATCAAGAAGTACAAATATAGAGATTGATCATGTAGTATCTCATGATATGGAGTCACAGAAGTAAAAATAATAAAATTCAGAACGGACTTGTATCATAGTCATAGACACACAGAAAAGCAAGAGCTGAGAGCAAGGACCTACATCAACAGTTGGGTTCTTGACACACATCCATTTCCATTTTTCTCCTACAGGGAAATCTCAGCGAACTATTCTTATATTGTGTCACTCGCTTCCTTTACAGCATTATGATTTCCTGAACCCACTTCCTGGTATTCTTCTTTCATATACCAATACTATTTTCCAGATCACCAGTGATGTCACATGGCTCAATCCAATGGCCAACGATCAAGCTTCATGTTCATCAGCAACTCCAACACTGATGCCTGCTCTCTTCACCCAGAGGCACTTTCTTCTCCTCTGCTGTTTACTCTTTCTAGTCTCTTTCTTATGCCAAACATTTTCAGCACTGAAGTGTTCTACAGCTCAATGCTCAGTTCTTTATATTACATCTCCTGTCTACATTCAGTCCTTATATTACTACACTGAGGGTTCTTGGCTTTAGCACTCATTGAGTAATTGTTACCTTCCAAATAATTAAATCAATATGACCCTCTTATTTGAGTTTCATTCATAAACAACCACCCACAGCATCTCCCCCAAAGACCTAAAGGAATGTCAAATCCTTATGTTTGCAAGAACTGGATTTCCTCTGCTGATAGGTTCTTCCTCATCTTCTCTCTGGATTTTCAGTAAATGGCATTACCATTCTTCCTACTTAGGCTGTGACTCTGGGGTCCTTCTGTAGCTCTCTCTTATTTACAACTAATATCATTTCATCACGGTTTCAAAATGCATCTGAGGTCCAGCTACTACTCCCCACTTGTACTGTTACTACAGCTGTGGCTTAGAATACCACAGTAGCCTGCCACAACTGATATCTATTTGGTCTCCACCTCTCACAGTCTGTCTTCCAAAACTGCACCATCAGCAGTTAGGGTGAGAGCCTATTTCTCTGTGCTCCCTAGCAGCCTGGGGGCCCTGATTTGGAGACCTTCACTAAGGTGAGGCAGGGGTTGACATTCTCCTTGCTGCTTCTTCAGCAAAGTGGAAAGTCTCAAGTCAAATTGACCGAGTTTGCTGCTTTTTGCTCTTTGTTTAAGATGTGAGTAAACCTGATGCCAGTATAGTGTGTTCCTTACTTCATCCAAACTTGCTCAACTATTCCCATCAAAAATGGCTCAGTATGTGTTTTTTTTTTTTTTTATCCACATTCCTTACCCCTCTCTTGACTAATTTATATGGCATCAAATCAAGCATTATTTCCTCAAAAATTCCTCATTGCCCCTTAATGCAAGCCAATTTACTTTGCTAGCTTCTGTCATAAAAATCATGCTTTTTCCTGTTATCTACCTTAACTGGCACTTATTCATATATTGGCATAATTATTTGATTAACATTTCCTTTCATACTAGATTCTAAGGTTCATGAATGCATTAAATTACAACAACTAACTTACTGCATGATCATCATTAAATCTCAATACATTTTTAAAAAGATAACAGCCATTGAGTAAAAATATATCTGGGTCATGTCCAATTGCTAGGGGCAGAAAGGAAAAATGACTGTTATTTTATGCCCTTTAGTTTGTAGTCATAAATTACAACACATGGAAACTAAACATAGTTAAGACATGAAAAAAATTATGATGACATGCTCTTTTACCCACACATGTTCCTGTT